TAAAACTCATTAGAACTGTTCATTGAAAGCCGGAATCTTTCTTTGAAACCTCTTTTGATAGCAGTTTTGGATGACCGAGCTTCATCTCTTCAAAACCATGCAAGTTTATCTGAAACTATTTGGTGTTTGGTACTTTCTGGTTTCAGCTTGCTCTGTTTTGTTTTCAGCTGTGTTATGTAGCATGGGAATTACTTCTCATAGCAAGTTCTGGTAACTAGATACATGAGGAGTCCTACAAGCTGTGAAAGATCTTTAGTTATTTTTTTCAGATGCTGCTTTTGTGTTTTGTTGATGCTTTTTCTTTCAGAAGAAAGATACACAGAATGTGTTGGGAGAGCCCAGGTTGTGTTCTAGAACCCAATTTGTGTTCTAGAATTAACTTGCTGTTGCAAAAGTAACTCATTTTGAACATAAATGGTGTGTAGAACAAAATCTAGGTCTCTTGCAATGTAATCAGCCTACCTGTAGATTCATAGTGTTTCTGTAGGAAATACTGTGTGGCAGTTTGGAGAGAGAACATGCATAATGCAGCCACCAAAGCTTTCAGAAGTTTCACTCATCTGTGGCTTAACTCAGGTTACTGAGGAAGCAATTTTTTTCTGTGTAGTCAACTTGTCTGAGTTTAAAAAGTCTACATTTTGAAAATTGCACGTGTCCATCAGCTCTGCATTTCTCTGGGAAGGTGCGGGTCCTACCCCTAGCCATTCCTGTATCTCTCTCACCATACGTCTTTGGTTGGATCAGGCTGCTGACCCAGCTGTCAGTCTGGCCGTATGCCTGTCCTTGTTGGCACGTGGGCAGGGTCAAGAACGTCTGGCGAGCAGAATACCCCTTTTGTGATAAGCTGATAGTGAGACTGCAGTCTCAGAATTGGTATGTCTATCACTCACTTAAGGACTAATAACGGCGTGGAGATAGTGTTTTCTAAACTGTGAAACTCACCAGACTTGGGGAAAAACCACAAGAATATTTACAACTGTTACTTCAAAAATAAATTCAATTTAAACAGAAGACCTGTGTTTTCTGCTCTGCAGTATTGATATTAATGCTTTGTTGGAGCTACTTGGTTGTAACTCAGGACTGAAACAGTCTGGGACTTGTTAGGTGTGTCTGTATGATACGAAGTGTACCCAGACAGTGAAGGTGAGAACTGTAGTGTTCCTTGAGAGGTTCTGAACTTCCAGGTTTCATTAAACTGATACAGTGTTTTGCCTTTTTGTGTTTGTTTCTTTTTTTTTTGTTTCCTGCCTATTTTTCTGAGGAAATGGGAAGACTTTTTTTGTAGTCATTTCTGGGCAGTGTTTGCTGAGAAGTTAAACTGATGAAGCAGTGGGAGATGATGGTGGAGGGTGAATAAATTAGAATGTATGAATGTAAACCGGCTAAATAAAGTTCTGGTTTGTAGCTTGGCTTTTCTTTTACTTCAGTGGGAAGTGTGTCATGCAGCTATTAAAAATTTTGTATTATCTTAATTAGTTAATGCTGTTAAAAAATACATGCAGTTTTTGAGATATCTCAGAAAACAGGGTTGCAATAGTCCCTTTCATTAGTCCCTTCCGTCTTTTCTTGGTGTGTATTGAAGTGTGCATTACGAAATGTTTACTTCAGCTGGTTGAAGAGGTTACCTTCTCCCCTTCCACCTTGCAGCTTGTCACACACACTTGTGCTGCTGTAACTGGTATAAAACATGCCATTGAAATTATCTGGTTAAATATAGCACCTCTCTCCTGCTTCTGGCCCCATTTTTTAAGGGTTATTTTTAATCAGATCATTTCAGTGATCCAGTTTATAGCAGAGCACTGTAAATGACTGTAACAGCACAGCTGAGTGGTCAGGCGTTTTTAAAACCAATATTGTTTTTGAAGCGAATGTCATGTAACTGCATTTTTTTTTTTTTTCACTTTAAAATAACATTTTTGAGGCAATTCAGGGAAGGTAATGAGAACTTGAGTGTGAGGAGAAGGTATCTGTGGCCATAAGAAAGTAGCTCAATTTTGGATTCCTATTAAAATGAAATCTAGGGCATGCTTAAGCAATGAACAACACCACGTTCCCCCTGCATCCCACCAGTAGCCTATATGCAGTGTTTTTCTCTTGGGGAACTCCAGGGTACTTTGGATATCTCAGTGGAAAAAGAGCTGAAGCATGGTGGCTTGCTGTCTGCAGAACTGGGGTCTGCTGACTCATGAGCTGTTTAATAGACAATTTATGTGCTCACTTTGCCACTTGATTTCCCCCACCACTGGCTTAGCTTTTATGCTTCAAGATGTATATCCATGATGAGTGAGGATGGAGTTGTGTAAGGGGGGGTAAAATTAAGAAAATCTTCTTGCAGACACTGCAGTAGGTTGCTAAGCAGGAATTTTGCTGCAGATATTTTACAGGACAAATGCTGCTCTTAGATTGCTGTTAGTTGACGGTACAGATTAAAAAGAAAGAATTTTGCTGCCTTAATAGTTTTCTGAAATGCAGCATTTGGATCTTACAGTGTCTTTGGGATGACAGAAAAATGCTTACTTGACATTTGAAATATTTGTGATAATATGTAACTGAATACGCATTTGCTTGTCCTCTGCATTGCAGGTGAAAGGGCTTTCCTTACTTTGCTTTTACCTTTCTGATATGAATGTTTTTAAGGAAAAAAAAGTGAAGTAACTTTCCTTCTATTCCTAATGGTTAGAAATACGTATTACCCTTTGTTTTTTAGTTGGTAGATTGCTGAATAAAAATGAACAAAGCATTTACATTAGACTTGAGACTATTTGTCCATTTAAGAAAAACTTATGCACTGTTTGAATATGTTGCAGTATGCTTGATCTGAAGACACCACTGTGCTGCAGTAAGGCTGCATGGAAAAAAATATGCAGAAACAATGGTTTTTATTTCGGGTATTTTTGCCTCTTCCCTCCCTTATGCCCTTAGCCACCCAAATGGATTGCGTGAGTGCTTTTCACCATAACTTTGAAATATGTGTTTTCTTCAATGAACTTGATCTAAGTAGTGTTCCCCTAGAATTTGATATTCTGTCCTGTTTGGTCTACTGTTGCTGTTTATGGATTTGTGTTGGAAACTGGATCACAGAAATTGTTGGGGTTTTTTTCATGCATTTTTGTAGGCACTGTTTAAACTGGCTCATACTAGCAGTCTATTTACTGTGCAGCCTCACAAACAATTGCATCAGCGTGACCAAGGGAATTGTCTATCTGCAGCATGGGAGTAAGTGGCTTGAGCAAGTAGGAACTTTTTGAAATTTCTTTGTCTGCAAAGCCAGTTCGTTGTAGGATTTAAGCTACCTTTAACAGCGGAGGCGTCGGTTAACCGGGCTGGCTTTGCACTGAGACATTGCAATGTTTGAGCTCTTGACCCTCCCTTTTTGACTTGCTCAGCTACGATCTCTTAAATCATGAAGACTACATTAGTGATTGTTCAGCCACATCATCGTCTATTGTAAAATCAGTATGCATAAGAGTAAAGTGACCTGATTTCCTGTTGTGGTAGATTTCCAGTATGCCAAATGCTCTTCAGGGATATTTTTTTGATACGTTACGAACTGTGGCTGCTGTGTTTGGCAACTATTGCCCTGCTAGTGTCTGTCCCCAGCATGAAATCCCCAGTAATGTATTTTTGGAGCTCAGGAAGTTCTTTGAATTTGCCTAGGCCATTGCTGGCTGTGATGCACTGAAAGATGAAGTAAAGTGTTAAATGTAACCTGCAGGATTTCCGAAGAAAGAAACTGTTGGTGCTAGGTGACCTCAAAAGGACCAAGTCTCACAAGGGTGGTTGTGTGTTTCAGTAAGTGATGCTGGGCATCACATTCTTTGTAAGAGGAGCTTTCTTGTCAAACTGTTTCACAGACTTTGATCCTTCGAAAAGGTCTGAGATTGAGCATAGAAAGTGAATTAGCTAGAAAAATATCAGTGAAATATTTTAACTGAAATGTCCTGAAACAACAATAGTAAAAGCTGAAGACCCAACAACAACAAAAAATCTCCTGTCACTCTGTGGCAGATACAAACTCTGAAACAATGGTTGCATTTGGGCTTCAATTCTTTTACATTAAAAATGAAGTGTTTCTGTTTGCTTCCCTTTTCATGTTGTTGTTATGCTAGATTGGGAAGATAATTGTTAAGGATTCATTTTAATAGCTTTCCTGGAAATAACATCAGGCAAATTTCATAAAAAATATAATCCTATGTGATAATACAGAAGTGGTGAAAACTTGGAGCTTAATAGGTGTATTGTTCTTCCAGACTTTGCTTCCTTTTGAAGAACCTGTCTACTTAGTCTGTAGAATCTTTGTTGCGTGGGCAGGCATAAGTTTTACCTGCTTTTGGCTAATGTCAGTGTTTTGCATGGTTTTCTGTTTAAGCAGATTAGAGAACTGATCCCGCTGAAAATTAACCTAATGATTCCTTTTTCAGTTTCTCACCATGAAATAGAAATCGTAATGCTCTTGAACAGAAAATGTAGAGCTATTAATATGAATTGTGTTGTGGGCATTCTTGCACAAAGGTTTAGAAACTTTTAAATTCTTTAAAACTAATTAACTGATGCAAATAGAAGGAATTATATTTCTGAATCTTAATAGCATTGGCAATGTCTTTTTGCAGTCATGATTTTGGCTTCGTAGTGATACAGTGGGAATAAGCTCTGACTCAGAAATGTATTCAGCTCTGTGAACTGAAGGAGGTGTGCGTCGAGAGTGCTCTCCCCATTAGAAGGAATGTGTATTTCCTCAGAAATGAAGACTAGTTGTGAAGATGTATTGGGGTACCCAAGTAACATTGAAATATTTGTCTCTTGGGGAAGTATTTACATTTTTTTAAGCCAGAAAACAGGTTTTCTCAGGTACTATTTCTACATGACAGCTGCATGCTTGTGTAATGTGTTACACTGTTGTTTGCTGTAATATTGCAGTACCTAATTTTGTTAGCACAAGTAGAAAAGCAATAACCTGATTTTGGCTCCTCATAATAATGTTTTTGTTTCTTTTCAGAGCAAACTTGATGATTACCAGGAACGAATGAACAAGGGAGAACGTCTGAATCAAGATCAACTGGTAAAAAGAAAAAAAAAAAACACTGACCAGATCTCTGTTAAATTGTTATGTGATCTTAGTGGGGAAGGACGGGATGAATTTCACTTCCCCTTTCCCCTTGTTAAAAGCAAGATTTTTTTCTGAGCCCTGATTTGGCCTCAGTTTTTTGTTGCCTGGAACATCTCAATTTTTCTGTTAATCAGAAACTGAAAGAACAGGTAGAAGAACATGTTGTAATGCTTTATGCTTGTTGAGGTTAGGTTATAAATAAGCTGTGGTGAAAACTGACATACGCTATAACCTAGGACTGTTGAAAGAGCTAAATGATACCTTTGAGGTTCTCTGGACATCATCCTTTTCTTTGCAGAAGACGTGCCCAGGGAGAACTTAAGGAGCTTAGTCACTTGGTGGTAGCTTGTAAATATTGTGCAGTCTAGTTAGAGGTATAGCTTAGATCAAGTTCTGAAGCACTCTGAAAATAGGCTAGGTCCACGTGTGTATCAGCTGTCAGTGCAGCAGATGTGACGCTCTAGATAAGCTGCACTTAGTGGATGTACGCCACTTCTCTCCTTGCTGAGGCGGTTTCTTCGAGTAGGTTATTGTAGAGCTTGGCTCAACAGCAGTTTTCCAGTTGTAATAAATACAAAGCAAGTATCAAATTAAATTCAGTTGTATGATACAAACATGCCTATTGGTACTTGAAGAGATTACCAGATGCTCAGTAATCAACAATATTTTGTTGATGATTTTTTAATGTTGAAAAGAGAGAAGAAAAAAAAATGTACCCTGCAACTATTGCAGCTGTTCACAATTACAAGAATTAGCGGCTTCCCTTGATCCATGTGATCTTTTTATCTGTCTGGGCTTTGCTTTGGTGGTTCTGTGCCAACTGAAAACTGAAATACCACTGATCTGTATGTTTTTATTTTTTAATGGCGAAATTTTAATTTTTTTAATGTGAAAATAAAGCCTGAGAAATCTTCTATTTAAGCAGGGAAGTAAACTGAATAAATGAAATTTTGTATTGAGGAGGGAAGCTCGTTAATTGAGTTTTATGAAGACCGCATCCTGACTATCACACTTCATAAATATCTTTTTGATTGGAAAAATGCTGAAACTGTTTTTTATTTTCACTTGTGTCTTCTGCTTCTACAAATCAGCGAAGAATGATGAATTTTGTGAATCACAGAATGGAAGGGTTGGAAGGCACCTCTGGGAATCATCTGGTCCAACCTCCCTGCCAAAGCAGGTTCACCTAGAGCAGGCTGGACAGGACCTCATCCAGGCGGGGCTTGAATATCTCCAGAGAAGGAGACTCCACAGCCTCCCTGGGCAGCCTGGGCCAGGGCTCCGTCACCCTCAAGAGCAAAGAAGTTCTTCCTCATGTTAGCTGGGACTTCCTATGCTTCAGTTTG